TTTTGAGTAAACTTGCCACACTTTCATACCTCTGCTCAACGTTTGAATAAGAGTAAATTTGTGGAATCGAGGTTATAGTTGAACCTTAACTTGGTACCACTAGCCTGGGGAATCCCATTTCAAATCTTTGATAGCGCTGTATTTCAGTTGGGCTAACCAACCTAGAAAATATTACCTGTTTAATTATATAGTACATAATTTTATTTTAGTTACGTAATTCCTGTCTTTAAATCTCATCTGAATTTGCGTGGGAAGTATTTTTTAAAATTACACCTAACTTACTATCCTTAATGTATTTTTTATTGCATTTCAAGATTTCTTCCCTTTTCATTTATTAAGAGTAGCTCTAAGTACTGTTGTTACCTGTACTAATAGGCAGTTACATTTTTCCCAGTCATTTTTCATTTGGCAGTCTTAGTGTTTACGTACGCTTTTTGTAGAGGTATTTTTAAATAAAAACATTGCCGTGTTCACAACAGAAGACACTCAAAAATATCTTACATACTTCGCGTAAATTAGTACTGCTGAGTTGAATGTTTATTTTCTAACTCTTGGTCGCTTGGTGACGTGTTGCATTCCTCTTCCCTTAAACGCATTTTCTCTTTACTTTGCAGGAAGAGACACATTGGACGAGTGTGGTCTACGGTACTTACTAGCGCTGCGCTTGCACACGTGCCTTTTGACGTCGCTGCCTCCTCTGTACCGAGTACAGCTACTTCATCAAGGTGTGGTGTGAGCTTTGTGCAACTTTTGTTTCTTACTGAAGTGGTTGGCGTGTCTGTGTTTGTGTGTGAGCGTTAGGTACGTTGTCATGTGCGTACCTGGCGGTAGCCTTAAGATCTCCCTGTTGCATAGTGGTACCCACTTACATTTTTCCTATGGGTCATTCAGCTCTGTTTGTCTCAATTTCTCAGGCTTTACTCACTAAAGTCATAGTAGTTTAGGAGTAAACTCAGCACACTTGAGGTTGTAACATAGTGGCCCTGAATTTCTGTGACGTCTTTTTTAAAACTTATGTAAATTTGGCCCTGGGT